TTTCCTCTGGCCTGTGGCACATGGCTAACTCCCATCTCTCTACACACACACACACACACACACACACACACACACACACACACGAGAGAGAGAGAGAGAGAGAGAGAGAGAGAGAGAGAGAGAGAGAGAGAGAGAGAGAAGAGAGAGAGAGAGAGATCAATTGTAGAACACTGAAATTTTCTATACCACAATCCACATAGCTACTGTGGTTTGAATGCAAAATGTCCCCCACAGGTTTGGGCAGTTGGCCATCAGTTTACAGCACTGTGCTACTGTGGAACACTGTGGAAACTTTGGTAGCAGAAGTGAGGTACTAGGCCCATGTCTTAAAGGTTATGTCTACTTATGGTCTGAGCTCAAGCTCTCTATTTGCTGATCTCTCAAGATGTGATGTCATCCTCCATACAGGCCAACGTGGTGGAGCCACTTCAACATGCCCTTCTTACCACAATGGATGAACTCTTCGAAACATGAGCCAACGTAAATCCTTCCTCCCTCAAGCTCCTTCTGTGGGCATTTTGTCACAATTACTAACACAGTCGCTGAATCCTGAAGCCCATAGAGCTGCTGGAGGAAAGCTCAAGAGCTGTGTGTTACAACGAGAGGAGCACACCCAGTCTCCACCAGCTCTTCAACAGGAACCTGAACTGAAGCCTGCCACCTGCGCCTTTACTATTATTTCTGCCAGAAGTAGAACTTAATAAATTCAAAGACAATGTTCTCTTTGCTTTCACTTTAGAAGTTTTAACCAGAAGTTTCCCATTGCCAGAAAACACCAGGAAGTGTACTTGGTGGGGTTATGCTAGGCTATGAAGTTTCCAGGCTTCCAGACTCCAGGGTTCAGAACTGAGCTCTGAATTATGGGAATGGAGGAGAAGAAAATGCAAAACTGGAATGAAAATACCCAGCATTGGGGTATAAATGGTAAATAGTTTGTTTTGAAACATGAAAAAGATTAAAATAACAATTATATCATTAGTGTTCATTAACTGTCTGGTTCTTGCTCTGTGAACACCACTCAACAGGAAGACTGAATGGCATTTGTTGTCACAGACAAATCTGTTTAGAAAATAGAATAAAATAGTGCTACCTCAGAGAAACAAGAGGGCTTCCCAAGGGTCTTGAATACAGAGCTCATCAGTGTCGGCTCCATCGGCCCTTTCTCACCCCAGGGAAGTTACTGCAGTTACTAGCTCTGTGTTGAGCAGTCCAAATGTCTTCTGATGGAGCCTGCCTGAGGTAAGCCAGGCTACACATAGCTACCCCTTCAGATCCTAGCCAAAATACACAGGAATTCTTTGTACTGTTCTCACTATCAGTGTGGTGGATTTCAGCAACTCCCAACTCACAAAATTCAAAAAAGCACCGTATGTAAGTATAATTGTATATGTGTGCACATGAATAGGTATGTACTTATCCATTTCAAGTATGTATGGAGGCCAGGGGTTGATGTCTGAATGTCTTCCTCAGTCATATCACTACCTTACTTTTTGATATAAGATTTCTCACCGAACCCTAGACCTCTTTCTCTTTCTCCCTCTTTCTCTTTCTCTCTCTCTCTCCTTTCTGATCAAGTCCCTGGGATCCTCCTGTTCTCAAGCCCCAGTTCTAGGGTTGCAGACAAATGCTGCCACGTCCAGCTTTTCACATGGGTGCTGGGGATGTGAACTTGAGTCCTCATACATGTATAGCAGGTACTTTATCCACTGAGCCATCTCCCCAACAACTTTATTTATGTCCTCCGAAAAATATGGCTGAAGGATAGACATACAAAATAGGGTCTTAAAAGGGTTCTAAATTGTTTTTTTTCATTATCTTGTCATGAGTCACTGTACATCACCATCATAACATGCACAGAATTTTACCAACAGGAAGTTCATTGAAGTGTCAGAGCTTCATTACAGGGGTAAGACTGATCAACTCATCACCCACGTGCCTGACCACACTGTTCAGCTCCTTCCTCTTCCAGAAGATCAGTTTGATATTACCTGGCTTCAAGATTTAACCCTCTTATTGTGTGGTTGACCCTATCCTGAATCATCTTAATAATACAGATTGTGTAGGTATATGTACGTTACCTTGTTAGTATAAACTCTCATGGTCTACCATAATTAACAGAGACACTACTGTAACTATAAAAATTAGATAGTTAGAGGCTACCTTGCAGACTCAAGGACAAAATACAGGCAGATTCTTTGTAGCTCAGGATCAGTTCCAGCCCTTAAGAAGGCAGGTTTTCAGAGCCTTCTTTCAGGTCAATAATGAGATCTGAAGTTTTCTCCATTGAGCTCAGTCTCATATAGAATGACAGCAGTCTCCCTGATCATGTTCCAACATGGCCTTCTCCATCTGCTCCTAGGTGTATAATTACCTTATCTACTCTACCTAGCTAAGATCTACTAAACAACTCCCACAATCTCCCCACTTGACCACCCTATTTATACTGATCCCCTGGGAAATGACGGTAGCATGGATGTCACCTGAATACTTCATGGGTTTTGCCTTTGGACACTGGAATTTTGGCTGGGGCTTCTACTTCTGCTACTCCTACAGCCATTTCAACACTGAGAACCCAAGAAATATTGGCAGGATATAACAAAATAAAGAATTAAATTTCAGACAAGAAGATTGTCATTAATGCAAACATCTCTGGAATTTTTGAGAGAAGCAATTAACAAAATTGTTCCTAACAATATTGAAAATAACTTTTCAAAATACAGAGAAAAGTTAGATCTGATCTTCTTTGGATACTTAATTCACAAGAAAATTATTAAGCTTTATGTCATATAACTTAAATACCTATAGGATGTAAATATAGGATTGCGACATTTGCTTAGTAACATCTTCAACTCTATGTTTGAGAAGATTATATTATGAAACTAGCTCAACGTTATCTGCTACATACATGGCCTATCTAAAAAATATAAGAATGATGAAAGTAGACTTGGTAAGTATTACTTACCATAGTCTTTTGTAGAATAGTTGTTCTTCATCTACTTGTAATAGCCTGCCGGTGTTTCTTGCAGTGAACGTTCAGCACAGGGGTGGAGAGTAGATTGAATTATTGAGTAAAATTGTTTTGTCTCATTTAGTGATTTCATACATTGTGCTTTTTTCTGGATTCTTATGAAAATCACACCTTCCCGATCCTCAACCACATGATTGGCTTCAGTTAAAAGGCTGTTACAGATGAGCCACAGATGGAGGCCTGAGACAGACTTGTGTGGCTGGGAATATCACACACAACACTGCCATGACCATGTGAAGATCTTGCCCTGGGTAGCAATCACCACTTCAGCTTGCACTCCAGAATTATATAGCACATGGAACAGACCAATCCTAATCTACAGCAGAGACAAGAGCAGACAGCTCCAGCACACAGCATGGAGCCAGCACCAGCTGAACCTCCACCTCTGCCAACACCAGCTGACCTACAAACACACAAGACCAAACAAATGGTTATTGTTTTAGCCTATTGGCTTTTGGAGTGACTTGCTGAGTGGTATTATTGTGGCTATATTAAGTAACAGGGTATTGACAAAAAAAATTACTTAAAGTATGTGGTGCTGGCTCAGGATTGGATGACAAAGACCAAAGAAACAGGAAAGTATGGGGAAGATTACGTAGCAGCCATATGTTTAGTGACACTGTCATTCATGGGAACTACACAGGCAAGGAATGTCTCCTGAACTGCAAACACTTAAGGAGATTAAAGCAGGTAGATAAAAGTGAAGCTTTTAGATACATTCAATAACATCCAGAAACTCTGATGAGCTCAGAAAAGAACATCACTATTAAAAGGGAATAAACAGCTGATGTACGTTTGGGGTAGGTTCTCACACAGCATTATGGCAGCAACAGTCTGCTGATACAGGATATACTCATTTTAATCCAACATCCCCATTGTCCTTTTTCCTTATGTAAATATTGGCAAAATGTTATGCTACATGTGATGAAGAATGCCAAGGAGAAGGATGGAGTTTATAGAATTATTGGCATTTGTAGTTAAACAAACTTTATTTTCAGATGAAGTGATTTTAAAATACATTTGATGAAAAACGATGGTTGATAAGTTTTACATATCAGCAAATATGAGCTGCTTCATACCACAAATATATTTTTAAATAGACTGGCATCCTAACTACAAGACATATTTTAAATATTGATGGGCTGATGAAACTTCTGAATAATTCAACAATTAAATTATGCGACACTTTACCAGTTTTGCCTGTCAGTGAAAGAATAATAAATATCCATGTATATACTTTAATTTCTGGTAAATGTACTACTGAGCAAATTAAGATACCCCAGAATTGAACTCAACCAATATGGTCAATGTGATTAATTTTGTTTAAATCACTGCCGTAGACCTAATTCTAGGCAGAGGCCTCATAAATTCTATCTTGACACAATCCAACAAGGTTGCAGTGCCAGTGATGATGTGTGTATTTGGGGCCTGGCTCAGACCTTATCCCCAACTAAAGACTGGCCAAAAACAGTATAAGTGGGAATAGATGCCAGACTGACTTTGTAGCATCATAGAAATGTGTATGTATTTATCCACCTCAATTGTTTGAGAAAGACTATCTGTATCTGAAAAGGTCCATGACCCACACAATGGTACCATAGACAAAATGTGGACATAAACATAATTTTTTATGCCAGGAAATTCATCATTTGACAGAAGCAATAACAAAGGCTTCACTGTGTTTCCACAATGACAGGAAATTCAGTGCATGTATTAGTTACTTTTCTGTTCTGTGATAAAACACCATGACCAAAAAAGACTTATAAAGGAATTTCTTTTGGCTTACCATTCAGAGGTACTCTTCATAACAGCAGAAGAGCCATAGCATCAGGCACCGGAACAGGAAACTGGAAGGATCAAACATGAAGCAGAAAGCAAACTGGAAGTGGACAAGTCCATAAACCCCCAAAGTCAGACTCAATGATATCCTTCTTTTAGCAAGGCCACACTTCCTAAGTGTTCTATAATCTTATTCAAACCACCAACTGCATAATATCAATCTATTTCATCTTTCATGTCCTTGAGTGTGCCAATATTTTACAAGGAAAAATAAAAGTGTAATATGGATACAAAAGAGAACAGGGAGATTCAAACTTTATCGTGATTAGAAACTTACATCATATATTCAAATTTCAATTGTGTCAAACATCCTAAGTTTAACATAACTATTTTGAAATAATTACTTGGTTTATATATTCAAACATATCCTAGAGGATTATCTAATAAAAATGACCTTGTGTCTCATAGGCTTGATAGAAAGATATTATATCCCATGTCCTAGTTGGGCATCAATGTGTCTGTTTTTATGCCAATACCATGTAGTTTTTATTACTACAGCTCTGTAGTACACATTGAAATCAGGGATGGTAATGCCTCCGGTAGTTCATTTATTGTTAGGATTGTGTTAGCTCTCTTGGGTTTTTTGTTTTTCCATATAAAGTTGAGTATTGTCCTCTCAAAGTCTGTAAAGAATTGTGTTGGAATTTTGATGGTGATTGTGTCAAATCTGTAGATTGTTTCTGGTAGAATGGCTATTTTTACTATGTTGATCCTACAGATTCATGAGCATGGGAGATCTTTCCACCTTCTAATTTTTTTTTCAATTTCTTTCTTCTGAGACTTGAAGTTTTTAATCATACAAGTCTTTTACTTGCTTGGTTAGAGTTGTCCTAAGATACTTTATATTATTTGAGGCTAATGTGAAGGGTGTTGTTTCCCCGATTTCTTTCTCAGTACGTGTGTCATTTGTTTACAGGAGAGCTATTGATTTTTTTGAGTTAATCTTTTACTTAGCCACTTCACTAAAGCGTTTGTCAGTTGTAGGAGTTCCCTCATGGAAATTTTAGGGTCATTTATATGTACTACAAAGTCATCTGAAAATAATGGTGATTTGAGCTCTTCTTTTCTAATTTGTATCCCCCTGATCTGCTTCAGTTGTCTTATTACTCTAGCTTGAACTTCAAGTACTATATTGAATAGATATAGAGAGTAGACTGCCTTGTCTTGTTCCTGATTTTAGTGGAATTTCTTTGAGTTTCTCTCCACTTAATTTGATGTTGGCTATAGGCTTGCTGTAAATTGCCTTTATGGAGTTTAGGTATGTCCCTTGTATCCCTAATCTCTCCAGGACTTTAATCATGAAAGCGTATTGGATTTTGTCAAAAGCTTTTCAGCATTTAAAGAGATGCTCATGTGGGTTCTTTTTCTTCCAGTTTATTTATATGGTGGATTAAATTTAGTGATTTTCATATGTTGAATCATCCCTGTGTCTCTTGGTCATGATGGATGACCTTTTTTGTTGCATGAATCCTAAGTGGTCTTGTAATAAAAACCTGAAGCCAGATATTGAGGTAAATGCTAAAAGATCAGAGACAAAGGAACAGGCCACAGCCACTCTCACCTCGCCAACTCCATGAATCCTCTGACTGAACGCCCTGAGTCCTCAGCTGAAAGATCTCTAGTTCCTGTCTCCTCAGGCCTTATATGCCTTTCTCTGCCCAGCCATTTCACTTCCTATCTCAACCTTCCTAGTGCTGGGATTGATGGCCTGTGTGTGTCCCAAACACTGGGGTTAAAGGTATGTGCCACTACCGCCTGGCCTCTATGTTTAATCTAGTGGCTGCCTCTGTCCTCTGATCTTCAGGAAAATTTTTTGTTAACAAGTAAAACAAAATATCACCACACTTTTTAATGTGTTCTTGGATTTGGTTTGTGAGCATTTTATTGAGAAATTTTACATCTATATTCATAAGGTAAATTGATCTGTAATTCTCTTTCTTTGTTGAGTCTTAATGTGTTTTGGGTCTCAGGGTAACTGTGGCCACATAAAATGAATTTGACAAATTTCCTTCTTTGGCTGTTTTGTGGAATAATTTGAGGAGTATTGGTATTAGCTCTTCTTTGAAAGTCTACAAGAATTCTGTGCTAAAACAGCCTGAGCATGAGTTTTTTCTTTCTTTCTTTCTTTCTTTCTTTCTTTCTTTCTTTCTTTCTTTCTTTCTTTCTTTCTTTCTTTCTTTCTCTCTCTCTCTCTCTCTCTCTCTCTCTCTCTTTTTGTTATTGTTGGGAGACTTTAAGTGACTGCTTCTATTTCAGTAAGGGTTATAGGTCTATTTAAATTGTTTATCAGATCTTGATTTAACTTTAGTAAGTGGTACCTATCAAGAAAATTATCCATTTCTTTTAGATTTTTCAATTTTATGGAGTACAAGTTTTCAAAGTATATCCTTATGATTCTCTGGATTTCCTTGGTATCTGTTGTTATATTCCCCCTTTTTCTTTCTGATTTTGTTAATTTGGATATTCTCTCTCCATCATTTAGTTACTTTGAATAAGAGTTTGCCTATCTTGTTGATTTTTTTTTTTCAAAGAACCAACTCTTTGTTTCATTGATTCTTTGTATTATTCTCTTTGGTTCTATTTTATTGATTTCTGCCTCCAGTTTAATTATTTCTTGCTGTCCACTCCTAATTTTATGGGTGGACTGGGGGTGGGTACAGGAGCAGGAAGGATCAGGTGGGTGGCCAGAGAGAGTGCTCTGAGAGACAGCTGGAATTGGGAGCATGGGGCGGGGTGGAACTTAGTATAGTGGAAATTTCCTTGAATCTATGAGGGTGACCCTAGTGAGGACTACTAACAGTGGAGGATGCAAAGTCTGACCATCTTTTGCAACTAGACAAGGCTCATTGGTTGGACTGGGTTACATTCAGCTGAGCTGTTGGCTGGTAGGGGGTGGCTTGGGGGCTGGGAAAACATGGGGGTTCTAATGAGATCCTAAACAACCCAGGCTGATGCTAGGACAAAGGGTTGTTCTCTGAAAACTGACAGCAGGGCCTCATTGCTGAGGACAACATCGCACAGCCCATTGAACGTAGAGAGGTTGAGCTGGTGCCTGCATGGAGCCTTCACCCCTACGTTCTAAGCTCTTTGGCACAGGAAGGTATTCTTCAAGCTATGGAAAGAGAAACCTGTACTCAAAACACTTGACTTATAACCTGTCATGCCTGCAAGATGTGCTGGGGCAATGATGGCACAGATGTCTGGTATAAATTGAGGCCTGTGCCATAAAAGGGAGCCCATTCTCTACACTGCTTGGATGGCCAGGAATCAGAGATTGGATAGCCCAGGGACCTAAGGCAGAACCAAACATGTCTGATATAATAATAATAATAATAATAATAATAAATAATAATAAATTAAATGACTCCTTATAATATTCTACTGTGCTCACAGATCAGTGCCTTGTCCAGTCATCATCAGAGAGGCTGCTTCTGGCAGAAGATGATAGCCAGTGCAGAGACCCACAGTCAGACATTATGTGAAGAGAAAGTCTAAATTGGAGGTCTCTATCTGGTTCCTCCCCTTGAAGATCAGGGAACCCTGAAGAAGAGGGTGAGGCAAGATTTGAGGAGTCAGAGAGGATGGGGGACACCAGGAGAACATGATCCACTGAATTAACTAAGCAGGGCTCACATGGGCAAGCAGAGACTGAAGCGGCAGGCAGGGGACCCACATGGGTCTGCACCAGGTCCTCTGTGCTTACGTTATAGCTGCTACCTTGGCGTTTTTGTGGGACTCTTTTAACATTGGGAGTGGGTGTTTCTCTGGCTCTTTTGCCTGCTCCTGGGACCCTTTTCCTCCTATTGCATTGCCTCAATATGAGGGCTTTTGCCTTGTCTTACTGCATCTTGTTTTGTCCTATTTGGATGCTCTCTCTTGGAGGCCTGCTCTTTTCTGAAGATGAAACCAAGGGGCAGTGGACCTGGGGTGGGAGCTGAGAGCAGCATATTATTTGAGAGTCTATTTTCAAAAAAATAAAAATTTAAAAAAAGTACTTAAAGGTTTTCCTGTAAGGTTTATTATTTTTACTTCAGTTTTGTCAGACTGTTGAAATGGTTATGAAAAACCATTGTTTTCAAGAGTCTTTTTAATTTACTTGGTAATTGAGACAAGGTAATAGTAAAAAATAAACTGAATTGATTCCTGGAATATAATTTGGTTCTGTAGTGTTCTCCTGGTATGAGAAAAATATCTTTTAGAGCAATCAAAATATTAAAGCCAGTGTTGTTTGCATCCATCAAATGCAATCATATCCACTGCATCAGGCATATCGACTTGCCCTGGGAGTCAAGGGCTGTAACAATAAGATATTTGCACATTTCCCACTGGCAGGGCAATGGAATGGTTGAATATTTAACCAGTGTCCAACATCACAGTGTATATCCTTGATTTGAGGGCCTGTCGGGGCCTAAATTGTTTGTATTTCCCAGAAGTTTATGGTTTACCATCTAAAAACTATCATGTTCACCCCCAATTCCTATAGCAAATTGCTTCATACATGTTAAGTTAAAGGATAATGTTACTTTTCTGATCATCATTAGCAGGCAGAAATAATGGGTTCCATGTATATTTTATCACTTACCCAAGAGAAGATAGCAAAAGGAAGAGTGAGAACTATTGCATTGAATAGATTCTTTTAACATAAAACAGTGGCCTAAAAACCATGTGAATTAAAAAAAAAAAACTTTCATTTTATGTTGGGAGGGTCTAATGATATCTCATCAAAAGAATCTGTACCGGTGTCTATGGGATGGCATTTCATATCTGTAAGTCTCTTTTCACCAGTTGTTAATTAAAATTGGGACCAGGAACTAACCTATGGCTTAACTGACTTAATCAGACTTGGAAATAGCACTTACTCATGCTCTCTTACGTGATTGTCTTATAGCGTAGAATGTTAACGGACCTTATAGTGGAATACATTTCTTCTAGTTAGCTGAACCAAGAGGAGGGCTGTGGTTCCTGTTTGTGCTTTCTCCGTTTGGCTCCACTGGCTTGAAAGCTCTGCCCCAGCTTGGCCGAGAGAGATTTCCTCTAGACAGGAGTTGTAAAGAAAGCCATTTAAAATGCATAAACACAGTGTCTAAGCCCTGCCATGGATCTACCACCCAGCAGGGCCATCACCCTAACGTGCTATGTTACTTCCTAACTGCTCTGTGAAAGCCCCACTCCCTTCTCAGCTATTAATATTCATGTAAATTTCTACAAACTGTGTTCAGGCAGAATGAAAATCAACATTAAAACATCACAAAATTGTAAATATTCTAAGACCAAATTTTCCCCAGAACAAGCTTTCCAGAATGGAGAATTTTATCTTCCTTTAATTTTGGAGTCAAACTAAAATAATATTGAACTAGACGTCAAAAAGCCAGTGTTTCTGTCTTGGCTCTGCCGCCTGCTAGCTGGAGAATTGAACTAGTATTTATTCATATTTAGTTTGTGTCTGTCACAGTTGCTAGATGACAGATTAGAAAGAAAACTAGCCCTACCTTTCACAATGTCTAATGGTGGGAACTAACTAGATATCTAACTTTGGCAACTAAGAACCAGTTTACATATATATCACTATACTGGAAGGCTTACGTCAGCTGATAGGTAGGCTGGGTTTTGTTTTGTTTCGTTTTTTGAGTTTATGTGTAGCTAGAGTTTTCCAGGCTTGCCCACAGTCAGGACAAATCTGTTACCCACCAGTCCCACAGCCGCTCAGACCCAACCAAGTAAACACAGAGACTTATATTGCTTACAAACTGTATGGCCGTGGCAAGCTTCTTGCTAACTGTT